TGTCACGACAGCATTTGGCATCCGATATAATGTCAAGGAAAGTGAGTTTAAAAGGCCCACGTGACTCTTCAGGCCTCTTAAAGTCAACAAGTTAAACACACGGGATTAAAAATAGCATGAAAATAGATTCTCACTGGGAACATTCATTTTCTTGGGTCTCTGTCATTGCCATCGACTGCTCAGGTCACTTTGTTTAGAGGCCCATTTTCCCCCAAAGAACCAAATGTTGGTCACTTGACCAGAGTTGGGGCAGCACCCATCAGATGTGTGAAGAACACCGGGGTACAGGCAGGGCCATGCAGCGGTAATGGGGCGGTTTCTTCAGTGCAGGGATTGCTGCACTCGCAAGGACACTCAGAGGGCCTCCTGGACATTCCAGTCTTAGGTATGGTGGACCTCCCTGGGCCTCACGAGCGACGAGCCTGACGTGAGGGACAGGAATGGAGGAGCCAGAGGAACCCCCGCCCACCTGCAGAGATGGGGCAGTGACACAGGCCCTCAACTGGGGCTGACACGGCCGTGGCAGATGCCTGTCCTCCTGAACAGACGTGCAGTAAGCAGTCGGACTTGTTGGGAACCCCTTCCCTGACTTAGATCCACCTGATGAGAAAACTCGCTCATTTGACAAAGATCTCAAAGTCCCCTCTTTTTTCTTCCATTTCCCTGAAACTTGCCTCCTAGAGTTAACTAGGTACCTTGTTTTTAAACAATTTATCACAAGTTTTGTTTTTCCCTTAATCCTAACTAAAGATGACTAAATACTTAAGGCTTTTGTTCTAACTGGAGCTTGATGCATGTTACACAGGCACTCTTCCATGAGGCTATATTCCTGATCTTGTTTTGTTTTGTCTTTTTTTTTAATATCTTTATTTTACATTTATGTGGTGCTGAGGATGGAACCCAGGGCCTCGCACATGCTAGGCGAGCGCTTACCGCTGAGCCACAGCCCCAGCCCTGTTTTGATTTGTCTTTTGATTTTAAGGCAGGGTCTCACCACGTTACCCAGGCTGGCCTGAGACTTCAGTCCTCCTGCCTCGGCCTTCCTGCCAGCTCAGATTACAGGTGTGTGCCACTTGAGACTCTTCTTTTAATATCACATTGTAAAAACAAATTATCAATTTATTCATGTAAGTTTAAAAAAACAATTCAGTGAAGATGACAAATGGTACAAACCATTGTTTGTATAATAGAAGCCTATACAACCAAAAACTTCCTTTTTGAAAAAACTTTAATGGATTCTTTTGTCATCATAAAGATGAATATTTGTATGGTTTCAAGTAGCACCAATTCTCTAATATTTATATTAGATTAATATCTAAATAAGATGTTTTTAAATAAAATAAGCGTTCAGAGCTGGGGACACAGCTCAGTGGCAGAGCAGGTGCAAGGAATACATAAATAAATAAGGTCTCAGAACAAGGCTGTGTACTAGCACTTCATAAACAAATGCAGAAAGTCCCTCCAGTGAATTCTCTGCCCCTACTCCCACCCCATCCACTCCATCACCATCATGACACCAGACTGCTTTATTGCAGTAGAATTATGTTATAATGTTAAATTGCTATAATTCAGTTTCCAGGGTGGAAGAAAAGCAGGAGTCAGGTCTTTTAGAGGCAAATTAGCAAATGAAAAGAAGAGTGTTGAAGGAGAAAGAGTGAGTGGGAGAAACTGTGGGGGAGGAAGGGGCTGCTGGCCCAAGCTACTCCATGCCTGGGAGGCTCTGGTATTGCTGGGTGTTGCTTCCAGGGACATCAGGACCTCCCGAGGTGACTGGTGACCTGGCTAATGAGTGCTGGCAGGTTGGCTCCCGGGACTTCTCCTTCTCTCCTGGGTGCCCACTGCTGCCCTCGAGGTTCTGCTGGTGCCTCCTCTGGTCAAGGGCCATCAACCAGAGACCACAGAAAACTGAATACTGCTCCTCCATCAGGGCTGAGGCGAGCCTCCATGACAGATGTCTCCGTCCTCTGGATCACAGATGCACAATAAGCAATCAGACACTTGTTGGGGACACAGCTGATGCGCTGTCGTCAAGTTCACAAAGTTCCTGAGTCTCCACGGCAGAAACCACGCAGCTCCTGCAAACACTTCTCGACAGTGAGATCCAGCATGACCTACCCGGTCATTCAACCAAGAGCCCTTCCCAGCCGGCAGGCCTGGATCCTCTGAGGGTCAGCGGGAGGAGGAGATGCCCAGTGAGATGATGGGAATCTGCGCGTCCACCTCCTAGGGAAGAGGAACTGCGGCGCAGGAGGTGAAATCCGACTTCTCCACGTGGTCAACACCAGGGAGCTCGATGTGGTGAGGGGAGGGTTATAAACACGTTCCCTTTCATCCCACAGATATGAGAACACAAGTCACACTGCCATTACTCGACAACTTTATGGCCCCAAATAATGCTAACACGCAGTAAATCAAAGGAAGCATTCCCGGCCGCATGGATGGCAACCTCACATTTGCTCCAGAAGGGACCCCAAGCAAGTCCGTCCCAGGCCAGGCTGCCAGTGGCCCTGGATGGGATGGGGGAGAAAGGGCAGGGGGGACAAGGCACAGGGGAGGCCCAGTCGGCTCTGAGTCAACCCCCAGCCCCTCAGCAGCCTTCCTTCTCTTCTCAAGAAATGACAGAAATTAGGAAATACTACTCGGGTTTGCAGGCTTCTGACCTGGTCTATCAAATCCTCAGAGAAGTCCCAGCAAATTACTGGAAACTGCACTTTGAACTTGGCCTTTGGCAAGGAGCCCAGTCAAACAGAAATGCACAAGCTCCTTTCCTCCCAGGGCCCACACCAGGGTGTCCCTCTAGACACTCCAGAGCTGATCCAGCAGGTTGGAATGAGGCTGAGCCAGGGAAACAAGCCCCAACCAGCATGACTTCCTACTGCCTGGGTTCTTGCTTAAAAAGGTTTCTTTGGCTTGTTCTCCCTCATTTTGTTGGACTGGGTTACAGGCGCAGGTCTCGTCGAGGAAAAGACTGGCACAATTTTCACTGCTTATTTAGTTCGAAGACTGCTTGATCAGCCCCTCCAGGGGTGCAGACTTGTTGGGGTGCAGGTTGGGGGATTGGTCAGGCCAGTTGCTAAGCAAATTCTAAGAGCTCCCAGGAATGGAGAAATGATCAACTCATAACCCCACAGATATTTCTACCTCTGCCGAGGGACATCTCAGCATCTCTGACCTGCAGACCTCATTTCAAGGTATTAAAATAAACCAACAGAGACTGTCATCGAAGGAACAGCCCATAGCTGCTTCTCCTTCTTAAGAGCAAACAATCAAAACATTGGCCTCTTTCTAACTCTGTCCTATTTCTAAGAAAACTCAATTTGCACAGGCAAATAAACTGTCCCATGGTAAAACCAAGAGGTCACCAAAAGGCAGATAAAACTAAAGGTCAGCTGGAGAACCAAGCCTCTCTCCAGCTGCTGGGAGGCTCCTGGAGGAAGCAGCCACCCCCAGGGATCTACCAGCAACCTGTGAAGCGGAGGGAGCCCGGAGGAGAAAGGAGCTGCTCCCAAAGTCCAGGCTCAGCCCTCAGCCTTCCTTCCTCAGCTCTGAGCCCACTGCAGTCCCAGCAGACCTGGCCCACAGGGACCTCGCTCTTAATGTGCAACTACTTTAACCGCCGCCTCCTCCTGGATTCTTCTCTACAGCCCTTGTGTTGTTTCATATACAAAGTGTGACCTGCTCTTCTGATTATTTTAGGAAGAAAGTGTCTGAAGTGTGTCTTTTCAAGCCCTCAAGATTTCACATGGACGGACAGAGCTGTTTATTCCATCTCTAAGCCCACAGCTTCCCCTTCCTGGCCTCCCTGACCTCAGACTGACCCAGTTCTGCAAGAATCAACAGTCAATGAGTACCACACAATTAAAAAACAAAACCTGCTATCAGGCAGCCTCCCTGAGGACACTCCTGGCTAGGCTGGCGCATTCGACAGAGGTCCCCACACGTTTCCCCTTTGATTGTTAATGCAGAACTCTGGCCCAGAATTCACCCCTTGTTTCCCCCTCTCCTCCTTCCCAGTGATTCTAGTGGATGTAAGAAAAGACTACAAATCAGGGTGTGTGTCGGGTGAATCATTCTCACCATGTGTTCAATATGCACTTACGATCATCTCCGACAAAGCAAATCTCATTTCATATATTGCTCTTGGACTCTGTGTCCTCATTTATAAAACAGGCTGATTTAAAAAAAAAAAAAAAAACCCAACTCTTGAGGATGTCTTTCCATTAGATGGCAACTCTGAGTGGCCCCAGCATGTAGGGGACTCCCCAGGGAGAGCATGAGAGAGAGGTCAAGCTGGTAGGAGAGCCTCAAGAGAAAGGGCCCAGAGGCAAAGCGGGGCAGGAACTGAGCTTGGTGCACCTTACAGTAAGGAGAGCGCTGCCCTGGAGCCCTGGTCTGCCCACGAGGCGGGCACCTGGGCAGCCCCACCAGTTTGATCCAGCAGTCCCAGTCAGGGCCCAGGTTGTCCTGAAGCCCGACATCCCTGAACCTCAAGTCAGAGAGCGAGAGGAAGAGGGGTCAGGAAGGACGAAGCAGCGAGGCACGGGAGGCAGAGAGGGCGTGCTAAGGGCGCACCGTCAGGCCTTGGGAGCACTGCGCAGCCCTCTACTCTCAGTCACAGATGGGCTCGTCGACAGGTGAAAGTAGATTATTTTGGCATATGCTGTCAAATGCTCACATTTTACTAAAAATATGCAATATATGAGAAAGCGTTTATTGGAAGCACTTAAAACATTAAGCTGCTATGATGGTCCAGTGGAAGTATTCTAAAACTCAGATTAATCAACCTTCTTTGAGAAAAGTAGCTTCATTTACGGAGGCCGTCTGCCTGGAGGCATAGATCTGAATCTGAATCGCCAGGAAGCACACAGTTAAAGCCCTCGTCCCCCATGGAGAAGCCCTCAGCTTGTAAGCCTGCCCCCATTGCTACCTCTGACAAGAGAGACCTCAGTACACCGGGACTGTCATCCAGGTGGAACTCGTCCACCTCTTTAGGTTCTCACCTGCATTTCAGGCCCGAACCAGGGACTAGGGTTTCCATGCAGAATCCAAGGGGACGCCAACTCTCAGCTGTGTCAAATCACCTGGGAGACCCAGGGTGGGCGGGCGACAGCCACTAGTGGAAGAAAACCAAGAGCGCTTCATTAGAAGGATGGCCTGGTCAGGGGAGTGGACATGGGGCTAGAAGGCTTTCTGCCCCTGGGACTTGGACTAGCCCCACGTCCACTCCCCTGACCAGGCCATCCTTCTGATGACATCACACAAATACACTGCATTTATAAGGCAACTTGAAAACTTTTTATTGATCTTTTAAAGAAGGCAATATTGAGATCCGCAGAATAAAAAGCAAAGGGCTGAAACCGATGATTCCTAAGAGATCCAGCATGTGACTAAGAGGATTTCCAGAGAGAACAGAGAATGTGACGGCAGAAATCAAAGAAATCAGGTGAGAAAACTGCCCGTACCTGAGGCAGTGACGGAGTCCCCAGGAGCGCTGCTGAGAAGATAGACGAAAAGGAAAGCATCCAAAGCCAAATCGAGAAGGTCCTCAGAGATTCCAGAGAGAGCAGCCTAAGACCTCAGAAGGGTGCTTGCCACCCTCTGGAGGAGAGGGCTCTCTGACCTCAGCGTCACAGAGCCAACGCCAGCCTCACACAGGCTGCTGGAAACCAGCCCCCTGCCCCTCACTCACACATCTCCTCTGAGGCTGTGGCTCGGGACCATCTCACCGGGTCTCCTCTAGGGAGCCGATTTCCGCCTAGGCAAAGTGCTCCCGCCGTGCAGGGATTCCCATCCTGCAGCCTGAGCTCCCGGCCTCTCTTCACTCTCAGTCTCCTGGGCACCTCCTGGGCACCTCCTGGGCACCTCTGCTGTTAAACTTGCTGTCTGTTCCCATCCCCCACCCAGGTGGGGGGCCTTCCCTTCACACTTTGATTGCAAGCTTTTCTCCTAGACCCACGGTGGCTCCGCATCCCTCCTCCCGAATGCACGGCAGCATCCACTTAGGCTGCTCCACTCGACAGTGGGTCCGAGACAGCACAGATCAGAAGGGGCCAGGTGGAGGCTGGAGTAAAAGGAGAACAGGAATCTGCTACTAAGGAGGGCCGCGACTAGAACTGGAGAGTGGGGCTTTCCCCGTGCTGGGATCACCAGGGCACAGGCCAGTTTGGGTAGAAATCATTTGCTCAGAATACCATCTTTGTATGACTCTCAGGGTCTGCAAGTCCAGCGCTCAGAAAGAAACTCGCAAGAGCCCGAGTCCAGCAGAGAAGAGGTAACACTATCGCACACTCCGTCATAACCAAGAGTCCCCCGAGTCCCTCGTGAATCCCCGAGAAGCATCTGCGACATTGGCATCAAAAGAGAAGGATTCAATAAAATAGGTGAACTGAACATTCACTTGTGCGACCCAATCCCCCCGCCCCCCGCTCCAGTTCTGGTGTAGCTTGCTGGACACACTCAGCAGGTTCAAATCCTAATTCATGACCCTCTTTCCTAAACTCCTTCCTCGACTTCCTCGTTTTAGTCAGTGACGTCACCAGCATCCCCCTTACGTGGCTCCTAATCTCTGCGTCATACCACTTCCTCAGCCCATCCATCATCCATCGGCCCACGGACCCTCCCATTGAAGCCCACAGTTCCCATTTACTGCCACCAAATAAATGAAGTATGCACCCCTGATGCAGGATTTCCACTGTTCTCATTCCCTCCCCTCTTAGCAACTCTGCCCTGGCTTCAGCTGTAATGCTGCTGCCCAGAACACAGCTACTCAGCCCGGCTCGGCCCCTGATTTGTAAGAAAGTGAGCCAGGAGGGGCTCTGACAAGGCTGTCTCCCAGGAGGGGAGCTGTGCCCTTCTTGCCATTCTCTTCCCCCTCACCCGCCTGCAGTGGAGACTTGGTGGATGGTGTCCAGCAGCCACCTCAGACCATGAGGCAACTCTGGGGATGAGAGTCTGCCTCCCTCAAAAGAGAAGCAGAAACATAGGAGAAACCCAAGTCCCTGCCCACAGCAGGTAACACATACATCAGATGTGAACTGCCCATCGCCAGAGTCTCATCCACGGGAAATGTTTCAGGTCAACTTGACTCACAGCTATATGCAAATGATAATTAGCAAAAGTTCACTCTCACAAATCATTGGTGGCTCCCAAATTCCAATGAATCAGTGTCCGGACTCTTGGTTCAGCACCCACGGCAATCCCAAGTCTGGACTGACCTTCATTTCCCGGCTGGTCTTCCACTCCTATCCCTGTGCAATCCACACTCCAGCCAAACTAAACAGCTGTGATCCCACAGGGCACAGCCATCACCCACAGTGTCTAGAGACCTGCAGGTCATCAGGAAGAGGACCGGCATGGCTCCAGAGCAGGGGCTTCAGAAGGGTTTTTGTGAATGAGTTCTCCTTCTATTTTTTAAACTAATATCTTACACAAAACTCCAATACAAAAAAGATTAAGATTTTAAAAAAAAGACCAGGTCACTTTCTTACAAATGCTTCCACTGTCTCCTTCAAGGTGAGGAAATGAAGTTCACCAGGTTGGGAGCTGACTCAAGGGCGGTTAGCAGCAAGTTCAAAACTAGAACCCAGGTTCCCCAGTGGCTACTCTGTCCCAGTAGGTGACGCCAACAGAGATGGTGAATAAAAGAGAACTCAGTTTCTAATTAAGAGAAGAGGGGGATGCACTGAGCAATGCCTTCCAGGACTCCCAAGCCCTGCCAACTCGGCCGACGAGGGATACAACATAAAAACAGCCTCCCAGGGCCTATGCCCATCAGTCTGGGATTTTCCATCAGAACGTTTCCCATTCCGATCCACACCTCACCTCGGCAGCTGGCATAATTAACCCAGCAACCAGAGAAGTGAGATGATGTGTCTCCCCATGACACTCATAAAATCCCATTGTCTGGTGTCTCACCCTATAAAAAATACCCCAGGCTGAGCCTGCCTGGGAGAGCCGCCCTGCGCTTGGTTCCTTGGGTCATCCTGAGCGAACTCCGCAGCTAGCGGCCATGAACAGAGCTGAGGCTGCCTGTACTGCAGACCTGCTCTGGGGTCCTGGGAGGACCCTGACTCTCCCCAACTGCGTTTCTGAAAACTGCTGCCCCAGGTAGGGGTGGAAAGGACGTTCTGTTGAAGATGAGGGGTTTGAGAGATGACAGCAGCGGAGTTCTGCCTTGTGTATTCAACTGAATGAGGTCTGTTCTCTCCACCTGAATAGTAAGCTCACAGGATGAACAGAGGCCATGGGTAAGCTCACACCTGCGCAGGAGAAATGACCCGCAAGTGATGCTGGTATCCAGAAAGACAGAGCAAGGGAAAACGCAGAACTTGTGGGGGTCCCAGAGGCCAGTGGCCCCTAAAGAAAGTTCTCAGGCTTAACTGGAGGCCAGGGATCTACCTGCTGTCCAGAGAGGGCCAGGGCAGCAGGACAGGCCCGTGCACCCTGGCCGGATGTTAATAGATGGGCCTAGCTCCTCTGGAGCCTGACAGCCACACACTGTGCCACCTGGGGCAAGTGGCCTCTCTAAATGCCTGTAGAGTGGAGATAATGCAGTGTCCACTTGATGGGGTGGAAGAAGAGTGCAGGGAGGCGCCACACCGAGGCTGACACTGCTATCACCAGGGTGGACACTGGGTCCATCTCTCCAGCCGCACCATAACACCTGGGAGCGGAGGCCCTGCCTTATCTCGCCAGGCACACACGCTGCGCTTTAAAGGTGTTGGTTGATTGATTAATGCGCCCTGGAAGAGGAGGCTGAGCTCATTAGGTGACATGTGACAGCATGTTCTTCCAGGTCTCAAAGGGATCTCCACGGGCCCTTCATTGGGGAGAAAGCGGCAGATCCCGCACCTTCTACAGCCTACCAAAGTGGCCGCTTCCCCGCGCCCCAGATCCAAGCCACAGCCGTCAAGGGCGAGCCAGGGGCCGCGCCGGGACGCGCAGGGCCGGCCGGGCGTCGCAGGCGGCCTGCAGCGGCGCTGGCCTCGCTGCGAAGCTCTGGCCCAGACTTGCGCCGCGCTCCATAAAACCCGCTCCCTCCGCCCAGCCTCCCGCGCCCGCCGCCTTTGTCTCGCAGCCGGCTCTCGCCATAAAACCCCGGGCCAAGCGCGCCTTTTCATTTGTGATGATCAAAGTGGTAGCTGTCTGGTGCAGAAGCGAGCACCTTTTAATATCTGTGCTTTAAAATTCCGGCTCCAAACTGCTCTGGGCTCACCTGTGCCCAGCTCGGGGTGAGGCCAGCCTCCGAGGCGTCACGTGCGCGGGGATTGGGTTCCCTGGAACGCGGGCCGCGGGAGCCGGGAGCTCTGGGCGCTGGGGGCGCGGGCGGAGGGCGGGGAAACAGGACCCGGCAGCAGGAAAACAGGTTTCCTTTCCCGGGCGCCCGGGCTGGCGGCACAAGCAGTTGGGGGCGGGGCGGGGGATGCCAGTTGCTCTTGTTTGTCTTGAAACAAAGGGAGAGAGGAGGAAGATGGGGGTTCTGTTGTGTTTTTTGCTCTTCCTACAATTATAAGTGAAATGCATCCTGCAGTGGGGCCGGGTGGGGCCCCACGTCCACCATCGTGGGACAAATCGGAAGGGCCACCTTACAAGCAGTGGCTACTGAGAACCGGGGTCTGGTAGGTATTCTGGAACCCACACCTCGCTCCTGAGCAGCCTGTGAGCTAGAAGTTGCTTTCAGGGAACCCTGGAGTGAGCAACCAGATCAAGGTCTTCTGTCCTCTATAAACAAGGGCTCAGGGCAGGGGCAGGGCTACTGGAGCCCGGAGGGGGGGGGGGGGGCACACCAACACCTTCACCCGTGTCCCCAGCATTTTCCCCCAAGACCAAGGAGGAAGAGTTTCCACTCCTCTGTGGTACTGGGGAGATGGATCACTAGCGGGCAGCTTCCTCCAGGGTTTAGATCTGGTTCCAGCAATCTGGAGCAAGGAGACGGAAGAGTCTGGGGTTTGGAAGCCAGACCTCTACAGGGCGAACCAGACACTTTCAAGATTAAACCTTAACGGGAAAAGGAAGAAAAATCAGATAATATCCTTTCTGCCGTCCCTGAATACCGTGAGGAGTTCAAAGGTTCCCCGAGCCTGGGGCACTTGGCAATTATAATTACACAGTAAAATCCCGAAGGTTAATGAATAACCTCTAAAGGAAGTTGCTTCACATAATGACGGCAATTTCTCTGAACTAAATGTTAATAATAAGGCCGGTAATACTATGAGAAGGAAATGGTGGCAATTGGCAAAGGGAACTCTGTTGCTTGGTAACAACCTGAGGTATGAGCACTCTCCTTACCTGCAGGAAAGGGGTGGGTAGAGACCCAATCCAGCTGCCGAGTTTGAAACCATGGCAGCTGGTGCGCCACAGCTGACCAGCAGCCCTGAGTGGAAGCACAGGGGGCAGGTCATTTTATTAGAGAGGACATTAGGAGGGGGAGAACCCCTGAGAATTACCTAGCAGCTGCAGTGAAGGAAATGGGTGTCATCTGTAAAGAGTGGTGGGCAGCAGCGTTCACATCAGCTGGTGCAAATCACTGCTCAACAGAACATTTCAGCAAATCCCTCCAACGGCTAAATCTTCTCCCCTGCCCCCTCACTTCTGTTTGCTCCAGCGGGGACATACACTTTGAACCTCCTGTTTGTTTGCTCTGTTTAAGAGCAACTATGGAAGTTGAGAGGTGAATTAGGAAAGGAATGCAATTAAGACAACCTAACTGCAGTGTTCCTTGCAGGGGACAAGGTGGTGCATTTGAACTGTAGCCTCTATTTAGTCAGGTAATTATTGCCAGTCTGGATTGCAAGAGCCTAGAGACAACTTCTTCCAGCTGGTCATTAATCAATAGGAAATAGCCTACAACAAGGTCTTTATTACCTTAAACCACTACAGGAGCATGTTCTGTGAGGGGCCAAGATAAGGCTGGGAGTTTAAATCCCTGCTTGTTTTATGGCAGAGGTCCCCAGATCTGCCAGAGTATCTATATCACTTTGATGGCCTTTTGAAAAATGCAGATTCCTGGAACCACTCCTGAGCCTTGGTGCAGTGGATCTAGATCAGTATCTGGGAATCTGCCTTTCAAATCTCCATGATCATCAGCGCACTGGGGAAACCACTGCTCTAAGGTATGTGAGCAGAAATTTAGGGTTCAACCAAAGAGAAATGGAGTAAGTAATTTTTTACATTGAGAATTTAACACGTTTTCTTTTTTTTTCTCTAAAAGAAATTGATCTACACATTTAAAAAAAGAAAAGAAAAATGTACTCTAAAGACATTATTTTCTTGTGATATTTATTTGTTTGTTTGTTTGTTTATTTTTGCTGTACTGAGGATTGGACCCAGGACCTCACACATGCAAGGAAGCACTCTACCACTGAGCCCCAGCCTCAGCCCTATGTTTCATTTTTTAATTTAACGTTTTTAAACTAAACGTGACAGGCACCGTGGTACATGCCTACACTCTTAGCTACTCCGGAGTCTAAGACAGGAGGATCACAAGTTGGAGGCCAACCTGGGCAACTTAGCAAGATCCCATCTCAAACTAAAATAAAAAATACAGCTCAGTGGTAGAGCCACCTAGGTTCAATCCTTAGTACTGTAAAAAAAAAAACAATGTAAACCAAAAATAATTGAGTTTCTGAACATACCATCATTTAATTAGAGGCTATTCGCTGTAAATTTAGCATCTTTCTAAATAGTCCAATAAAACCATCTGCCGTGAGCACCTTGGAAGGCTTGCCTATGCAAAACCACAAACTGAGCCAAGTTTGTCCTCAATCTTGACATTTTGTCTTGGGGTTTTTTTGTTTTGCTTTGTTTTTTGTGGTGCTGGGGATTGAACCCAGGGGTGCTTTACCGCTGAACCCCCTCCCCAGCCCTATTCATTTTTTATTCTGAGGCAGGGTCCCAGGACGTGGCCCAGGCTGTCCATGAACTTGCAATCCTCCTACCCCTGCCTCCTGTGAGTCCTCAGGCATGTGCCACTGCCCAGGCTCACCTGGCTCCTCAGATTATGAGACTGACAGTTGCCCACCGAGGCAAGAGGGTGACAGGCTCACCTGGTTCTTTAGAAGCCAGAAGCAGGTCCTCCTGGCCCCAAATCCTAACTGAATGTCTTTCTAAAGAGGTCACAGTACTTAACGTCCATGCTGCGGGACTAGGAGGAACTTCTACCATAGTACTGATAACTCTCTTGACATTTAGAATGACCGTCCCAACCCCAGTCCTGCCCCCAAAGACACAAGACACCCTGAAGATCACACTTTGGAACCAACCCACCTTAGCTGCAATCACCCAGCAGCTGGGAGCTGAGCGAGGACTGACCCTTGTGCCTCGGCTTGAACGTGAGCCTGACAGAAAGTGACTGGCAGGCAGAGGGAAGCTGTCCCTCCCTGGGGCACTCCCTACCCTGCAGGGGCCCCCATGCTCTCCCAGGGCACGTGTGGGACTCCGGTGACTCTCCACCATGCATTGGGGCTGCGTTGACTCATCTGCCTCCTGTGGCTAAAGCTCACCGAGGGCAGGAAGCGGGTTTACCCCACCTCACTCTCCAGGCTGGGAGGGTGCCCGGTGCATCCGCGGTGCAGCACTGGGGACTGATGAGCGGGTGAAGGCTGTCAGAGGACACCGGAGCTGGAAGGCAGTTCCACTGGTGAAGCAGATTCTATTCAGGACTATTGCAGTAGAGGGGAAGAGAACTCAGTGCAAACTAGACTCGGCCCTGAACTCCGCAAGGGCCAGTGGGAATCTCTAGGCAGAGGCACCTCGATGGGGGACGGGCTGCAGAACACTTCCTAGAGGAGTGCCAGGGCCAGAGGGTTCTGACTGACCGGACTGGCCAGGCCAGCGTGGTCAGACACCCCCTGAGGGGGGTGGGGTCCTGCTGCAGTGGCTCAGCTCCGTCCTTGCTCACGCTGGATCCTGTGAGCTCTGGTTTCAGTGTGTTCCCCCAGATCCTCCGCCCAGGGCGTTTGGAGGCAGAGCCTCTGGGAGTGGTGAGGGTAGAGGCACCAGAGCTGGCCACTCGCCCTGCGCCATGCCATGTCCTCTGCCAGCAATGACGCAGCAAGACCATCCCCGGGGCTGTTAGACTTCCCAGATCTGGGAGCCACCTGGCCTTCCACCGTGGCCAGACCCGGCCCTGGAAGCTCATCCCACAGAAAACCAACGTCCAGGAGATGAGTGCTGGACAGAGAGGCTGGACTCAGTGGCCAAAGAAAGAAGTGGGAGCCCATGCTCGGAGGTCACTTCTCGCCTCCAGGGGTGGAGGGACACGACACAGGTGGGAACATGAGGAAGAGAAGAGAAGCACAGGAGGCACGTTCAGTCTCTGCTCTGCCAGGAGCTCTTCCCATGGCCGGGCTTTCCAGTCATGGCGGCAAGTAGGCTAAAGCCTCCAAGGGGAGAGAGAGGGAGAAACCAGCAAGTCTAGACCAAGTTAACCCCTTGCTATAGTTTGGGATGAAGCCCTTCTCAAATGATCAACCTAGTGGAGCTGCAGGTGTTATTTAGATTTTTCCTTGGTAACACTGTACTTTTATAAATTACCCAGCCTCAGGCATTTTGTTATACTAAGAAAAAACAGAGTAATAAAATAAGGAAGTGCACAGATGGGCCTCACTAAAGTTTGGTCAAGCAAAGAATCTTTGTCAAGATCTCTGCTGCAAATGGCTTCTTTCTCCATGTTAACCATTATCTTAAATATTTTTTTTGAATTGGTAGAGCCGGCGATCCTTTTCAGATTAGAAGTTCCAGGGCACTTGAGAGTGTGCGCAAAGGAGAGGGACATAAAAGTCAGATGGGGCCACGAGGGAGAACTCTCCACAACACTCGAGTCTGTTCACACCTGTACCCACAGGGGTCCCAGTTCCTTCCCACCCAGAGGACAGGTGGGTGGCGACTGTGTTGAAGTAAATCTGTCCCACAACGGCCACTAGGCTATTAAAGTCGGTGTGCGCCCTTGGAGCCTAGGAAGGACATGGCCACTTCTTGGTGTATTACTTACCTTGAGGAGAATGGCAAATCTAGGGGCATCTGGTGCCGACCTGTAGCAGAACCACAAGAGAGTGAGTGAGCCAGGTCAAGGTCAAGATCAGAGAGCCAATCCCCGGGTTTCCTATTCAGTCACTTACCGCGAGGATGACTGTAGGCTGGCAGCCTAAGCATCAATTTCTCGTTTGTGAAATAGTAACAGTAGCCCTCGCGCCTTCTTACAGGACGGTGGAGAACCACAGCCAGGAGCACACAGCAGCTGGCACGGGGCACGTGGCCATAGGTGCCAGCTCCTCGTGAGCTTAGTGACTGATGTCCGTGACACGGGCTGGAAGGATCTAGCATCCTTTGGAGTGCCTCTGGCCCCAACAGCAAAAGAGAGGGACATAATGGCCCCTGGGGTCTGCTAGGAACAAGCCTGCTGGCTCTGTCCTCCTCGGTGCCCCTGGGACTGTCTGCTTTGCTACATGTCGAGCCTTCACATCACAAGATGAAGGAGAGGTTCAAATACTTTACAGCTAATTTAACCAACAAACATGGTTAAACCACAGAATTCAAATTGCATCTTGTTTTGACCAAATATGCCCAAAACTACAAAAGTTCTGTTTGTGAACACCAGGGACATGGTGCTGAGAAATCTTATTCTTTAAAATCATGGCCCTGGAGAAAGCTGGCTCTTTGGAGCCCTATCAGGGACTTCAAGACAAAAATGGGACAGCTTTACGCTGAGTAGTTTCAAAGAATTCAGCTTTGGTCCAAGGGCCAATCAGCATTATTCCCTGCGTCTATTAGGACTAATAAAAAGCTTTCTCTTTTCTTTCAGAACTAATGGAAACCCTCTGTTCTCACTCAGAAATGCACGAAGTCCCGGTGCAAGAACACTTCAGGGAGACTGAGTCCCAGTGCCCCGTTCAGCAGGAACAGATTCTGCCTTTTTCCCTCAGCGTGGACAGTCTCATGATCTGAACAGCAGAACCGGAGCGTCGGACCCTCCGTGAACAAAGCCCTGCTCTTCTGGACCTTCCCTTAGCTGACGATGGCATTGCCACCCAAGGAACCAGGTTCTCCTGGAGACCTTCGGCCACCACGCGGTCCTGTGTGCTCCTGCACCGCCCACGTGGCCACTGCTTAGATAAAGTGAGCACTGCGGTGACAACAGGGACGCACCCTAGGCCACCTGTACGTCCTGGTACCAGCTTGGCCTGCAAGGACACAGGTGAGGATGCTCGTGCCCCCTCCCACTCCATTTCAGGTTCACCTCCAGTCCTCGTGCCCCCTGGTGGGTGGGGACAGATGCACGACTTCAGGTCCAGTGCTGACTGGGGCTCTGCCCTCCGGCCATCCAAGTCAAACCCCTTGGCGTTTCTGAACTCCACTCATCTGCCTTCCGGGGGCTCAGAAGCCCAGACCTGCCACCGCGACCTGCCCCACTCCACAGCCCCCTGCCCTCCCCAGCCCACCCTGTTCTGCCGGGCTCTGCCTCTCGCCTGCACCCCCCAGATCCCTGTCCCCCAAATCTTACCTAAGGCTTTCATCCTGTTTTCCCTAACTTTTGGGAATCACCTCTATAAAGCCCTATGTCTCTCCCAAGTACCAAAATCAGCAGAAACACTTCTCAAACCGACCGCATCTGTTACTCATCAAGGATGAGCTAATTCTCCATATCCTCATGATTTTGGAGCAAAGCCAGTTCACTGCTTTCCAGATTGCCAGTGGGGGTTCTGCGAGGTCCCCCGTGTGTCCCAGAGCAGACCTCGTCTCCTAGCAATCTGAGCTGGTAAATTAATTCACAAGCTCCAGTCCCGGAGCCCACAAGGTAGAGAAAAGGGTTTTTCCCTCCTCCACACGTGGCTTGAGCGTGCTGCACGCGTGTATGTTCAACAAATGATGTTTGAAAAGATAAAACCATTTCGTTTAGAAAATCTTGACCTCAGTTCTGTCCACACAAACCCCTCCGTTCATTCAGCAAGCGCGGGGACTGCAAAGGGCCGCGTTTGGATGGTTGGTTGCTACTCGGGGGAAGTTACCTGAAACCCCCAGCCCCAAAGAGGTGACCCACCCGGGGCTTAGTGATGAAGTGTGCAGAAGATGTGGAGTGCAGGGAGAGTGGGCTGGGCTGCTGGGGTGGGGAGGCAGCAGGAAGGTGACCTGGAGTGCGTGGTAATGGGGCTGGTGGGGTACGGTTTCTCAGGGGGTCTCAAGCCCCCTCAGGCCATGAGTCATCCTCAGAGCCATGGGGGGACTTACAAATGGAAATTTCCAAAGAGAAATTCAGACCCTGATTCTAGGCAGAAGAGGGAGGGCAGAGACCATTTGGGAGCAGCTGCACCTTGCAGGATGCCGGTTTGAAGTGTGGTGGCTTCTGCTGCTCCTTGGGGGTAGGGGACAGTGAGGAGGAGCAAGGAAGGCGCTTCATCCCACAGAGCCTCTTCCACAGAGCTTCTGGACCTCCCAGATGCACCCAATTTCCTCATCAGCTTTTACCATATCATAAAAGACATTTCACTTAGTAACATGGAGGAGATGAAAGCAATAATGTATCATATACTTATTCAACACACAAACCTATTTCTATGGAGAGAGCAGATGAAAGGAGTCCTGCTTAGACTCCAGGCAACCTCAAGTTTTGCTGACTTACACACACATAGAATGATTATAGCAAGTTGTAATTGAGATGATGTATTTCTTGATGCAGGAAGTTCATAATTCAGGAAATAGAAGTTGGTGAAATTGAAACCAATTTATTATGTAAACAAAGGAAACATCGGATACAGTCAAAGCACTTAGGAGTTAGAACACTTGATTTTTAAGAAGTTTTGGAATGGAATACTCAGGGAACTATAATTCTTCAGTTTTTGTGTTATAGTATCACTCTAATGTGTTACTATAATCCTCTGGATTTATTTAGAAGAAAATACAATAGCTATCTGGAGAATCCAGTTTGACCTCTGTTTTCAAACTTTCCCCAAGATTTAGCTAGGAGTATAAACACTTAGTTGCATAAACTGGTAACAGCCTGTGTCATGGACCAGGTCTTCTGGAACCAGCCTCCCCATCCCTATAAGGAAAAACGAGGTCTGTCCACTCTGAATGGGCCTCTATCATCCCCCACCCCTGCTCCTTGACCACAGAAGACCCCTGACCAAGGCCCAGGTCGAGGGAGGCGTCCAACTCCACCCTCCAGGAAGGAGCGCCTACAGCCATGAGCCTTTCTGGGCCTGTCGTTTCTCAAGATTTTCCACAGCGAGGCCGAGAGAAAGAGCTCCCGGGCACCTTCAGCACTGCGGGGCCTCCCCAGGACTGCCCGTCACCCTGGGGCTGCCCAGGCCACCGCCACTCAGGAAAAGCCAGAATTAGGCAGAGAAATGAGCAAACAGTCCTGGTAATCCCAGTCCTGGATCCCATGGCTCTGAGGCCCACCCCATCTCTCCCCCATTACAAAAGTCCCCACGTCCCCTGTTTGGGAGAGACTTGTAGAAAATGCATTCTGGCCAGTGCATCTTGCGTCCAGGGTTAACAGGATTGCTTCAGCCAGCTACAGTATGTTCACAGAATCCGAGTGCCTGACCATTAATGAGCTGACCCACGGGGCCTCTGGTGTGCCTCTGGGGTCCCAGCTCCTCGGGAGGCTGAGGCTGGAGAATCAACAGCGTGAGGCCAGCCCGACAGCATAGTAAGTCGCCCCTCCTCCACCCTTGCACGCACACACACACACACACACACAAGAAATCTTCCCAAGGAAGAGCTTTCAATAAAAACTGAATAAAAGATGAAAGGAGGGAAAGGCGGAGGACAGAGATGGTCTACGTACTAACAGTGCAGAAGAGGGTCACCAAGCAACAGGCACTGCACCAACTCCACTGTTAAAACCAGATGATAGCGAGAGACAATGAAATCTGAATCATAACTGTTTTCTGGATATTGGAACAATGTGTGCTTTTTTAAAAAAATGAATTTCTACACTTTATAATTTTTATTTTTATACTAAGAATGATGTTAAAGACCAATTCTGGCCCAATCCTCTCTTGGGGCCATGTGCAAATCATACTTTATTCCCTTAGGTATATACACAACTGCATGACCCATGTGATTCCACCACATGAACAATCAGAAAATGAGAAATTATACCCCATTTATGTATGATATAACTGCATTCTACTGTCATCCATAAATAATCAAGACATTTTAAAAATCACACACACACACACACACACACAAAAAAAAAAAAAACCCTGATGGCCAAGTTGTTCACTTTAAATCTTGAATTCACTTTGAATTTTCTTTCTAAATAAGTTTCCCTCGGCAGGGTGACTCGTCATTCATTTCCTTTCTCAACCTCTGGGACTTGAAGGGTGATCTTTTTTTTTTTTTTAATATGACAGTGGAATGCATCACAATCTTATTACACATATAGAGCACAACTTTTCATATCTCTGGTTGCACACACAGTATATTCACACCAATTCCTGTCTTCATACCTGTACTGTGGATGATGATGTCCATCACATTCCACCATCACTGCTAACCCCCGCCCCCTCCCTTCCCCTCCCACCCTCTGCCCTACCTAGAGTCCATCTGCTCCTCCCCTACTCCCATGATCTGTGTAAGGACAGTAGAGATTTAGCACCTTCCACCAGCCTGGTTCTGGCTCTTGGCTGATGCGGCACAGCGTGAAAGAAACATGTCGACCCAAGTGGGGTCACTCACTAATGCTATGATTATCTTCCTCATTGCAGCATTTATAAAATATGAGAAATATGTTTACTCGAGTCCCTTCTTCCCTTTCAAATCCATTTCTGAGAGCCTCAGCATCTCCCTGGGGACAGGTCCACTGGGACACCGAGTCAGGACCCCCGGCAGCAGCAGCCCTGTTCTGCCGTCCCAGGGAAGGCACCAGGGGCTTTGGGTTTCTTTATTGAGATTCTTGCTTCTCAGGCAGTTGGCTGAGAGCTTTGGAAGGCCTTCCTAAAGTAACGTCCTGTGAAACTGAGCTTTTCTTAGGCTTCAGACTGCAAAGGGACACGGCGGACCCCGTTCTCTCCACTAGACCCCTTCCCTGGAGGGCTCGCGAGCCAGGCCAGCTCTATGGGGAGATGCAGGGCCTGGCGCCTCGGCCACCTCCTGTCATCAAACAATGGCTATAAGTCATATTTATGAGTCGGCCTTTCACCTGGCAGGACTTCACGGTGATACCGCAGGACTCCTGAGGTTCCCTGAAGAAGTACTTTCTGCCCAGCCGAGAAGAGAGTCTACACTCATCTCAAGCTGATTCATTGATGACGAGGGCCATGAAGGAGGTCCGGCGGGACCCAGGCCACTCACGCCCCACTACCCAATGAGTCAGGAATGGGAAACAGTCCCTCACCCTGTCCAAAGCCCATAAAGCGGGATCGTGTGTGCACGTGTGTGAGTGTGCATGCGTGTGAATGCATACATGAGTGTATGCATCTGTGTGCATGAGTGTGAGCATGTGCGTGTGTGAGTGTGTCACCAGTGTGTGTGGTGGCGGTTGGCTTGGGTTTTCAGCATCTCTCTGTGACGTGCTGTGAGATGGGTGAGTTTCAGCCCAAGGTCTAGGACATCGACCTGATCCATGCCTTGTGCCCTCTCCCCACCCCACCACCTCACTCACAGTGAGGGACCTGTAGGTTTTCAGAGGATTACTTAGCCCGTAGAAGACGATGTGACGGGAAAACGACGGAAGACTATGCAACTTGCAAAGCGTAAAAAAAAAATATATGGATTACTGGTCCCTTACAAGAAGCTTGCTGCTCCCTTAGAACCCAAGACCTGAAGAGAGGAATCCAACCTGCAGCATAGGAGTTCAAGCTGCAAACCTGTCTGGCATTCCTAGTGCCACTCAGAATCCAGGACTGACTGCACAGGTGGGCAGGCTGTGAGGTGTGTCTCCAGTGTCACTGGACGTCCTTGGCGTCAGCAGATTGCTCTGGACTGACAGGTTCGTGTACCAACACGCGCAGAGGAGACGCCACACGCCCAGCCTCTTCATCCACAACTGCAGCCGACACCCAGCCCGACTGCGGGGCCCTGGCTCTGCTCTGCAGGGGAGGGGGAGGACCCTTGGGCACAATCTGGGGAGAGCCCCAGGCAGGACAGGGCCTGCTAGGGTCACGATCAACCAAACAGAATGTCAGCCACAGAGCTGCCCGTCCGTCTAGCCTTAGAACTTTGGTCTGGATTTTTGGCCAGCTTGTCAGCCAGGTGACCTGCATATTTACAAGCATTCCCCTCCTTGCCAGCAATGAAGATAACATTGCCAGGCCCCGTACGCAGCAACGAAACCTGCTTTTTGTGTAAGGTGCAAGCTAAACCTGCCACAGGTATCATGCCCTGTAAGCTGCTGTACAAACGCCCTCGGCAGCTGGACCCACCTGCAGGCGAGTGGGCGAGGCTCAGAGCAGCCTCTGTTCCTGTCAGTCTTCCTGCCAAGTTCAGGACACAGGACACGGGTCCCATGGGACAGATTTCCCATCAGGGTTTCAGCACCCTATTGGAAACTGAAGCATTCGATTCAGAAGTCCTTCTTCACTGATCCCTAACTTTGAAAGGTATAGTTAAAAAAACTACTTATCCCCCCAAAGTCCCCCGTGTGGTGGAGACGCCATTTTCGACTGCCAGTGGGGACCTGAGCACGTGGCTCATGGTGAGAAGCAGCTAGAAGAAACCGAATCAAACACAGGAGCAGACTTAGGGCAGCCCAGCACCAACCCCAGGGGCTGCTCTGGCCCCACAGGGACCCAGCAGCACTGGATTGTGGGTGAATGACCGCGTCCTCCGGCTGCCCTGGTTCCTCCACACAGTCAGACAAGGGTCACAGGGCGTTTGTCACACGCCTGGACGGCACTTGGCATGGGAAGGTGTGGCCCCCTTGACACTCCAGCAGGGAAGCAGGCCCTGGGCTCCCCCCCGAGTGCCACTGCCCACACAGGACACCCCACACCGTGGCG